TGCGCGCGCTGCCGTCCGCAGCAGCGGCAGCAGCAGCAGCAGCGGCGGGGGCAGGGGCCCTGGCGTGTCTGCTGCAGCGGGAGAGGGAGGCGCTGCAGGCGCCGAGGGCAGCAGGCAGCGCAGCAAGGCGCTTGAGCTGCTGCGCTGCAGCACGAGCAGCAGCAGCAGCAAGCAGGCCGCCCGCGTGGGCGCGGCGGCGGAGGCGGTGGAGGGAAGCGGCGCAGCGCGCAGCGCGGGGCTGCTGCTGCTGCTGCTGCAGCAGCGGGAGGCGGTGGCTGCGGTTGAGCTGCTTGATGAGCAGCACGCGGGGCAGGCGCGCAACTGCTGCTGCAGTGGCAGCAGCAAAAGACACAAATGCTGCCAGCGGAGAAGGCCGCTGCGGCACTGCAACGGGAACTGCTTCGCAAGACCAGCTGCTGTCCCAAAAAGGCAGCACTTCATCTCTCCAGAGGTCGAGTTTTTTTGCTGCTGCTGCTTCTCTGCGCGCGCGCCCCTCGCTGAGGAGCAGCAGGCGCTTCTGGAGGCTCATCTGCTGCTGCTGCTGCAGCAGCCGCTGCTGCTGCTGCTGCTGCTGCAGCGCCACCTTCTGGTGGAAAAAGGCGATCCAGCGCGAAAACGTGGAGTTCGACAAGTCAGCAGCAAACAAGTCCAGTCTTCGAGAAATAAACTGAAGACTGACACAACGAGCTTCCATTTCGTCGTCGAGTTCGAACTTGCGGGCTGTGGTGTACAGACACCCCACGGTGATGTCCACGAGCTGCTCCAGCGGCAGGCAGTTCGCCGCGCCGCGCTCGCTGCTGCTGCTGCTGCTGCTGCTGCTGCTGCTCGGCGCGCCCCACAGCAGCAAAGAGTGCTCCGCGTTCACGCGAATCAGCCGCCTCTTCATTCTCCCGTTGCGGCAGAGCTTCACGAAGACAGAGCCTTCGACGAACAGCGAGGTGTCTAGACACTCCGCGGGCCCGGCCTGCAGCAGCGCGCCGCCGCCCGCTGCTGCTGCTGCTGCGGCCTCCAGGCCCAGCGACAGCAGGCCCCCCAGCCCGCTCCCGCTG